AACCTTGTGTGACTCTGAGGGTTCATCTCGCACTTTTTCATCTCGCTTCATCCTCTGAAGATTTTAAGCCTCTTAAACCTCAGCAAAAGGCTGGGAGTTTTTTTTTTTTTTTTTTTTTTAACAGAAAAGCCAAATTTTTGATTGAATAAAGCAGTTGTGGCTCCAGGCCTGACAGAGTAGTGTTTCAGAGAGGTGACATTTTGGTCAAGTGTGACTATCAGTGGGTAGCAGGAATCTTTTGTTTTAGCTGTTTCAGTCAGATGTAGGGTGGGTGAAATGCAAGCTCATCTACATAACTCATGGTCCACAACAAACTGTTTGAAATGCCAGGTTATGTGAAGTAAAAAAATGCCCTTAAATATCCCTAAGGTACTTTTTGCACCATCAATGTAACAGACTTTCTCTACAGTTCAACTTTAAATCAACAAAATCTGTCAGAAGAAAATAAAACAAACCTGAATTTTTTATATATATATATATATATATATATATATATATATATATATATATATATATTATCCTGATTGCATAAGTGTGCGCAACCTTGAAATAGTACTTCAGTGAAGCACTTTTTAGTTAATTGAAATTATTCAGTATTTTCAGAATTAAAATACTGAATTATATTGACTTTGGAAAAGCTAAACTCGTATTCAGCTGTGCTAATAGCCATATTTCTGCATGGATTTAAAAGACTTCAATGTCCTAAAAAGTCCATTTGCAAGTAAGTATCAAGTAAAATAAATAAAAAAAAATAGTCTGACTCCCCTCTTCTCTGTTTAGTTTGCAAGAGGTGGGGGCTTGGAAATGATTAAAATCCATAAGCTCTGAATGAAATCAGCTGAAAAGGCAAATGGAGCAGCATTGCTAGCTTTATTCAATAGCAGACTCTTAAAAAAAGTGGCCAATTGCAGCAGAGAATGCCTTTTGTCAAGCATAAAACCTTCTCAGAAAATCCACCCAGTAATTGCTTCAGCTTCCCACAAGTAATGATTATGATTCTACTAGATAATTATCCACTTCACTAACCGAACATTTGGCCCAAACACAAAGGTTTGACTGACAACTTGGCCTATTATAACACTATTACCAAACATGGAAACACCTCTACACTTCCAGGACATACAAAAAGCACATTAATCATCACATGTTCAGGAAATAAAGAACCTACAAGTAATGTCAAAGCTTAAAGTGCACATCTTTCTCTGGAGACATGGATAATCTGCAGAGGAAGCAAAATATCAGGGTGTCGGCAGGGAGCGCTTGCAACTACTAATACTTTGCGCTCATCATCAAAGATAAATAGTGAAAATACCAGCAAAAAGCCAGGAATTATGAAAATACTAATAAAGATTTTTCTATTGTTTGAAAAAGGCCTTGCTCTTTTTTTCCATTGTTTCCTCACTCTTGTATTTTAATAAAATATTTTTGTTTTATTTGTTAAAATTATTCTTAATAAATATTTTGTTATTTATGTATTTTGTGAACACTTTTTTAATTACCACCTTGAGCACAAGAAGTCTAAAAAAAAATGTTCCTATCCAGTTATCTGTTTCTTTGAATCTGAGCATGCTATTTTTAATAACTACAATATTTTTTACTCATATGTTAGACCTGTCCTGACTGTACAGTCTCCATTTCTTACTTTTGTTACTATATTTTACCTGTGTGAATCACACAGCTTCCTTCACTATGACTTTGCAGCTGGCAGATCTGAATTTCCACACTCATGGACAATAAGGTATATTTATTTTTCCTTTCTAGTTTTTTTATTATTATTATTATTATTATTATTATTATTATTATTATTATTATTATTATTAAAAAGAGAGAAAATTTAATCCCCCTTTTTTTTTTTCCATTTTATGTTATAAAACTAAAAATAAAAAAAAAACCTGCCAACTCTTGCTTGATAGGCAGATGCGTACACCAGACCTGTCTCAAATTTTTTTTTCAACAGCAACAATCCCTCATTTGCCTGAGGGTTCCTTCCCCCTCCAGGTTATTGAGGAGAATTCAGGAGCTGAGATCTCTGATAGTGACAGTGAAGGGAGCGTTCTCCTCCACACACAGCCACCTGAGAGAACCCTGACATGTTTATAGGCCCTGCTAAATGTGTCTCTTTGTGTGGGCCTAGTTATTTTTCTGAAGGCTAAAACTCTGAACGAGAAAGTTTTGACATGTTGAGTCCCGAGCAAACAGCACCCTGCCCTCTGCGTGTCTTGTGGTCAAGAAATCTAAGGTGATCGCAAAACAAAATGTGACAAAGCGGTCGTCTCATTTGTGACCTGTGTCTGACAGCACTTGCTTTCCCAGGATGGACTGTCAGCTCCCAAGCTGCCAGCAGGGGGCTTGACTCAGTGAAGCTTTATTAGGTTCAGTTTGATGTTAGCTCTCTGCTTGTGCCTCAGACAGAATTCTCATGGCACCTATTTGACTTGTTCTGTGCAGTTTCAGCAAAAAAAATATGTATATTTAGGTCTCTTGTGTTGTTAACATTTGGTGGTAAATTTTAAGTGAGTGCATTGACAAAACTTGACTTCTTGTCTGAGCTAAACTGCATGGGGAAATCATGAACATTTAGCTTCTGTAATTTACAGTTTGAATGACTTCAATTTAATTTACTTCATCAGACTGTTCACACAGAGCGTACAACTGTGCAGTCTGGGCAGACTTGCACTCTATGCGACATTTTGGTATCTTTCAAGTTTTCATTTGTTCTCATTTCAACCTGTATGATGTTAGCTCAGATACACAGATTTGTTCGCTAATTGCTGAGACCAATGCCAGTTCTAAAAGTCACAACAAACAGAGGGTTTTGCAGTACAGCTCCTAGAAGAAGACAATGAGAAAATGTTTCTATACCCATGTGCCATATGTACATTTTGGCCAAAAATAATAGCTTTATCTGTTCACTGCACCTCTTCAGCATCCAGTCAGGCTATCTCCAATCAGACGACTCAAGTTTTAGTTCGCTGGTCATCCCAGGCTTACCGTTCATCCATCCCGCAACAACCTCAGTGATTTCTCTTCTCTGTTCAATTTAAATCAGACTCTTTTGGGGGGTCCTATGTTGGCTCGGGGAAAATAAGAGGAACCGTTTCCAGAAGACCAAACCCCCACGCAGAGTCTTCACTTCCCAAGCCCTCCATCATTCTCCCCAGAAGACCAAATCAAGGTCATTCATCCCTTCATCTCATCATCCCCAACTAACATAATCTTCATTTTATGTAACTTTGGACTTGTGTCACGCTGATGAAGTCATAGTGACATGGAGATGAATAAAGTAACATTCACTTAAACAATTCTTGGAGTATTTTAAGATGACAGAAAACTTCCCTAATTAGATGTTGGCTCGCTTTCAAAGTCACAGTGTCTTTCTCTTCATGCACGATGATATGGTACAGACAAGTCTTCCAAAGTTAAGATATTAATTTCTCATGACTTCTGCACATGACCTCATTAATGTCATTTGACATTCTCTTCTAAGTTATATGGCTGCAGCACATAAAATTGGCAAAAGCGGTCAAGAATTTACTTTTTTTTTATAAATATATGAAAGCAAAATCAATATAGCTAATATTGTTAGCGAGAATTACCTCACATACTTTTAATTTGCACAGGTCATTGCTGTGCGAACAGAAGTGACCTGTGTCAGCAGAAATTAAATAATAGGATATTTGTTACTTCCGCAATTACAGATTTCCTTGATTGCTATGACCTGCTTAAGGAAATGTGCTGCACTCAGTTATCATCACAAACCCAGCAGACCAGAAGACGCCTCTTACAAATGTGGTTACCTTTTCTCATTAAATTCACACATATTCCTCACTCTTTTGCACAAACAGATGTCATTCAAGTAGTCAGAGGTCCGTTGTTTCAACTGGTAGCCAAACAGAAATTCCCTGTTTCCAATTATTGGAAGCTACCTAGATCAGTATGAAAACACTGTAGCATTTGATTAACACTCCTTATCACAAATCTTCAATCAGTAACGAGTATGTATGTGTTGAAGTGGACGTATAATGCTTTTACATCCTTTCGCTTTAAATGTAATTCATTATTTTATAGCTTATATAAATTATAGGCCATACTTTATATATAGGACTAGATACCTATATAAAGGGGATAAATGAGGGCTCCACAGACCCCTCCTTTATCTCTGTTCTGAGAAGCTTTTTACAGCATCTCGATTTATTTTTGTTTGTTTTTTGCACTCCTATACACTTAAAGTACACAAATCATGTGTTTAAGGGTTACAAAAGTGGATTTCGTATTCTATGTCCCCTTTAAAAGGTGTTGCATCAAAGTTCTTTACCAACATAGATCGAAAAAGAGTCCAACGCTGAGAGTCAGTTCTGGGACTTATACTGCAATATGTATTTTTTTCTACTTTCTTAATTTCTTATTCTCTGATTTCATTTTTTTTGACATTTACAGTATTTTCCTATAATTTTGACACTTCATAATGTTAATTATTTAAGGAAAAGTAGCAGGTCTTTCAAAAGGAAATGTAATAAATATAAAACAATATAAAACAAATAAACCCCTGTTGTGGTTCTTCCAGAAATGTGCAGTTCTAGGCACAGCCAAGATACTGTGCAGAACCCTCAAGCTCCCAGGCCTCTGGTAGAGGACCCGAGCTCAGAGGATGAAAAACGAGACCCCCCGTGGAGGGTGAGAAGGGATTTTTTTTTTATTGTAAAGCTGTCAGTGTTTTCCAGTTTCATATACACTAAACTTAAGATTTTTTCCCATCGAAAGTATAACTTTCATACAGAAAATTTTTTGACTACTTCTTCTTCTGTGGAGTTTAATGAAACTGCACAGCAGAAAGAATCCATGAAGGTGCAAAGAAATGTGTCCTCCTCTCTGATCATTTTTCTTTGGAGGGGACCGAATAAGCACTTCCTGCAAAAGATAAGCATACCATGTGATCCCATTTGTGAGCAGCAGGCTTTCCTGTCCCAGCTCAACTTTCCACTGAGTTGCTAGATTGATAACACCTGGGAGCCACCTGCTGGTGAAAAGAACATAAAAGCAAAAGCATATTATGCTTTCTTTGCCTTGAGGTGTGAAGGCTTTCCTTGGCTGGATTATCTGGTGGTGTTGCTTGTCAACACTGGTGTGGTGTAGAGCCACAGACCAACTCAGCACCTGTTGTTGAGAGCTGGTGCAGTCATATCTGTTGGATGCTCAATACTGAGGTATGGAATTTAAACCCAACATCTCTTTAAATTATTATAAAAAGCTGACCTGAGATCTTATTTTATATATATATATATATATATATATATATTATTATTTTTTTTTTTTGGCTTCTCAGCATTTTTTTTTTCTACTTGCTGAATGAGGTGAGCTATTCTTCAGCTACCTTTGGAGGTAAATCTTTTCATATTGTCATCTGTTTTTGACTTGCAGAACTCCAAAGTTGAACTCAAAGGAGCTTCAATGTCACAGACCAGGGGTCTTTTAACTTCAGACCTCTGTCTTGTGTCCTACAACTACTGGATGTGCCTGCGTCACACATCTAGTGAAAGACTGCCAAATGTGTCGTATGTTCTAAAACGACTGCAGGATACCTGCCCTTAAGGCCTGGATTTGAGGAGCTCCTGTTATAACTTTTAACTTCAGGAGAGTGACTGTATTTGAGTATATGTGCTAAGCTAGAGGCTATGGCTGCAAATTATCAAGTTGGTCTTGTTATAAACTATTGTCCTTTAATAAGTCCCTTTGTTTTGTGCCTGCTCTTTACAGTAGAAAGGTTGGGCAATTACAGCAACAGCTTTATAAATCAGATGTCCTCCAGATTTAGCAAAACCCCGTTGCCCAGAACACCTTCTCCCCTATCTGCCGACGAGCTGCAAGAAATCTGATCCACCGAAACCTCCAGATCAAGGACACCCACATCCCCCAAAACATCCTTGCTGGCCACCACATTGTCCTGAACCTGACCACCCTAAACGGCTGCCTCCTCCTTATTGTCTGCACTATTGTCCACGACCCCACCTCCCTGATCATCATCATCCCCATCACTGTCACTGCCAGCTTTTTGCTCTTGTGGGATCAAAAGTATTTCAATCTACAACTTTAATAATTCTCTGACCTAATATCTAACATTAAGGATTTTAAATAAACCAATGTAACTCCAAAAGCTGCATTCTCAATTTCTCAAAGGAAGGTTAAACTAGTCCTTGTATAAACATTGCAGGGAAAAAAAAAAATCAAAATTTAGCTTTGTGCTAAAACTAAAAATGCCTTGAAGTGTGGAGACTTGGGTAAAATGTGCTAAAATGACACAATGATTCATAATGACTTGTGAACCATTTGATTAAAATGTCTGCAGGGATGTTGGTTGGGGTTGTAAAGTAGGAATGTCTTTCTTCGAACTCTATAAGAATTGATGTGGACACTGGTGTTTGTTTGCCCCCTGCTGGTTTTTACAACCCTCTACCTCTTTTTTTCCATTCATTTTCACAGATGTTTAATCCTTTCATGGTCATTGGTGCCACTGCCATATTGACCTTTTGTTTTAGCAAACATGATGTCTCCCTGGTGACTTGTTTTGAACACATCTCACTGGGAGGAGACCCAGAGGAAAACTCTGGACACCCTGGAGGGACTAAGTTTCCCGGCAGGCCTGGGAACGCCTTGGGATTCCCCTGGAGCAGCTGGCTCCAGTGGCTGGGGAGAGGGAAATCTGGGTCTCTTTGTTCGCTGCTGCTTCCACGACCCGGCCCCAGATTAAGTGGAAAAGGATGGATGGATGGAGTAACATTTCACCCATTGTGTTTGAGATTAACGATTTGTGTTTCAGTTTATAAAATAGCAGCTATTATGTTTAATAGCAGAGATGTGTCCATTTTATGTAAAATACTGATTAAACTGCTTCAAAAAAACTACAGACAAAATGTCAAAGCTACACTCATTCCTCTCTGTTAATACACATTTCTCCTTTGGAAAGTGTATAGCTTCCTAAGAGCAAATAAAAGATAGCAGTGTCATTAACAAGAAAATGAATTCAGAAACATTTTTCTTTTTTATTACAAGTAGAATTCAACAGTGCAATTATTTTCATTTTAATAAACTCCATAATAGTGATGTTGAAAGTAAAAAAAAAAAAAAGTTTTTTAGTGTTTTAAATGAGAATCGGCGCATTTCTATTCAGCTCCCTTTACTCTGATACTCCCAGATAAATCCAGCAAAGTAAAGTGTATCCTAAATCATATAATCCACTAAAAGAGCCCACCTGTGTGCAATTTAATCTTGGCATCATATGCCAGCTGTTCTGCAAAGATCTCACAGATTTGTTGGAGATCATCAGCAAATAAAACATCATGAAAACTAAGGAACAAAGCAGATAGATCAGGGAGAAGGCTCTAGAGATATCCAAAGCAGGTTTTGGTTACAAAACGATATCTGAAGTGACAAACATCTCTGTTCAATTCATTACTGAATTGAACTCATTACTGAATTGAACTCCCTTCACAGAAAATTGTGATGAGGATCCCCTCCAAAATTATATTCCACATTATGGTGGTTGACCACATAAAATCCTTAAAAAAACAAAAAAAAAAAAAAAAAACTCTCCAGTTTTGTCATACATTTACATTTTATCTAAAGCACATTTTCGTTTCCTGTATGTGATACATTATATATGTCATTGTCAAATTGAAGGAAGTTTGGTTTAGCTGGTGTAACACGCGTTACAAAACCAGCAGAAAGTCTGTAACCAGACATATTAGCACCAGCTACCAATCTGTGTTGATATGTAAGAGCTGTACTTAGCTAAATCTGTCCCATTAATCAAACAGAAAACTCAAAAACTGTGGACACATCATCTCCTCAGAGGTAAATCAACTGACAAATAAAAGAAAGGAACATAAACAAGTGAAAGCCCAAAAGCTATAAATCATCATCATTCAGCCAGAATGGTGCATGCTCAGCTCATCCCAGCAGAAAGCATGACCAAGGCTGGTGATCAATCTTTGATCCACCATTGGCTGACCTTGGTGTGACTAGTGATCCATGCAGCCTCTGATCATGGAAATCTGAAGGTTTGGCCACTCACTGACTGCAGCTATACTGTGATTCATTTTCTTTCTCAATCCTTAATCTCCACTAGGTGAACTTCCCACTTTTAAACTGCACACAATAAGAAATGGAGTGAATATAGAGTATGATAGAGTATAATACTTTGTGCTGCTGGATGATGTCAAATTTCCACAGGAGTTGTTTATGATGAAAAGATTCTTGGTTTTATTATCAAGACAATTAAAGTGTATTGGTCATTCTGTTTACACATTGTTTTTTGTGAAAAATAACATTACATCATATTGCAGCATATCATGGTGACCTGCAGCACTTTTTCTTTGGTGGGTTCAATGTCTGTACAAGTTGTATTGCTGCCATCTTCAGGACTGACAGAAAAGTTTTAAAACATTCCTCTCAATACCGCCCTCCAAGGCAAACAGCAACATTTTTTCATGCACAAAGGATTTTTTCAGTTGTGCGTTTTTTTGTTGTTGTTGTTTTTTAGAAGCAAACAGTATTTGTCTACCTACCGCAAGAGCACAAACACATGGAAAGTTTGAGCTGCAGCTGCTGCAGCCTTGTCTGCTGGGTTCCTCATTCAAAGATACATTTTAATACAACTTTCAAAATGTTATGCAGAGTTTTTTTTTTTTTTTTTTTTTTTTTAAACAGTTCTGATGAAGTGACATTACAATTTCTCTCTAGGCTGCTGCTGCTGTATGGGCTTCCATACTTGTTGAAAGAAGTTGTTTATGGTTCCATATTTGTAACGGGTAGGTCTGGCTTGTATTAAACATTATGCTGAATAAAGTTATGACGTGCATCCTGATCATCTCCAATGAGAGCAAAATTCTTTAAAGACAAAATGTAAAACTTTGTGTAGAGATTTATTGCACAATGTGATGTGTTTTCTAGGGTAGAATAAATGCATCAAAGATGCATTCTGGACATTTTTTGCATCAGTGCAGCATGGCATGGAGGCCATTACCCTGGGGCTCTGCAGCGAGCAGTACCTTGGGGTTTCTCATCTCTTTCATGGCATTATTATCCAGATTTCTATGGGGTTTGGATCTGGCCAGTCAGACATATTGGTGCCCTTGTCATTATACCAGGTATTAGTACTTTTGGAGGTATTGGCAGGCATCCAGTTCCACTGAAAAATTAAATCAAGATCTCCTAGAGGCTTTTGTATGGAAGCCCATTTCCGCCACTCTGTTAAAATAATAATAATAATAATAATAATAATAATAATAATAATAATAATAATAATAATAATTATCTCATTATTATGAGATACTATCTCAAAATAATGAGATTTTTTTTTTTTTTTTTTTTTAACAGAGTGGCGGAAATGGGCTTCCATACTTTTGTGAAGAAATAAGTGCTGTCAAACCTCCTGGTAGCCTGCTGCTGTTTGGACCATCGCCAGTAGATGGCATGGTTCTGCAGCTCATTTGACTGTTAAAGCTTCACACAGGAACCAAAGTAGTTTGGAAATTTTATTTCTCTTTACTCTTCTCTCAATTCAGATGGATGAATTTTCCATCTGAATTGCTGAATTTAGTTTTATCTGAGACGGCTGTGTCACTAGTCTAGTCCCCTTTCTCCTTAGCTGAGGTCTGACATTTTTGACCTCTTGGTAGCAGAGTGGCTTTGGTAAAAGGAAAATGACATTTGAAATCCATATCCTTGAAATGCCTTTTTATTTTTTATTTTTGCAGTGGCAATCAAAATACTGACCTCGGCTACTGAGCATTTGTTGTGAATCTCATCCAAACTCTCAAAGGGGTTTTGCTTCAACCTTGTGTGTTTTTTTTTTTTTTTTTTAACTCCACTGAAATACTTGGGCATGGCAGCCACTGGCTGTTTTTTTTTTGTTTATTTTTTTTTTATTTATTTATTTTTTTTGTGAGACATCTTTATAAAACCTTACGATTGTGTGGATTTAAACACTTCCATAGTGATTTTTTTTCTTATGTCCTATTTTATATTCCACATTTTGATAGAATTTTGGATTTTCATTATATCAAAAGTCCATCCATCCAACCATTTTCTTCCGCTTCATCCAGGCTCGGGTCGCGGGAGCAGCAGCTTCAGAAGGGAGGCCCAGACTTCCCTCTCCCCAGCCACTTGTTCCAACTCCTCCAGGGGAATCCCAAGGTGTTCCCAGGCCAGCCGAGAGACATGGTCCCTCCAGCGTGTCCTGGGTCTTCCCCGGGACCTCCTAACGGTGGGACGTGCCCGGAACACCTCACCAGGGAGGCGTCCAGGAGGCATCCTGACCAGCTTTCTAAGATAAGAGCAAAGGATGCTTTAAACATGAGGGGGAACTTGTTGCCCTATCTTCAATGCTTTTCCATTCAGTTTGGAAGGCCAGTACCTTCTAAGAGCCAGTATTTACTTTGGTAAAAGAAACCTGAAGGTTCACATCTCTCACTAAGATAAGGGGTTAAGCTTTAATTTTCCCGGTTTAAGGCAATCTTCAGATAATTTCAGAAAAGGTAAGGTAAGGTTAGGTAACTTTATTCATATAGCACATTTTCAGCAACAATTAGAAAAAGAAAAAAAAGAAAAGCAATTAACGCTTAAAAATTACCAGTTTGGCCAGGAAAAAGTAAACTGCTCAGGTTCATCTGTGCTGGAGGGTGCTCACTTTCTCAGTTGTAGTTAAAAATTCAAAGAGTGACATTTGTTTAGAAATCAAGTTATGGTACACCTAATTGATTTCTTCCACTTAATTTCAATGGACAATGGAGTTATCTGGAATTAAAGGTCTATAACTAGGTTCTCAGTTATTTTGTGATATTCAGAGTTGAGGTATTTATGTTTGCAGCTAAGGCTTTGTAAAGACTTGTCTGATTCTGTTTTTTTAACAGCATTATTGACACAATTGGGATTGTGACTTAAAATGGGCCACAAGATTCAACACTGCATGTACCTTATTCATTATCAGAAGATGGAACACGCTTTTAAACTGTACATAAGGAGCCAAACTTGAGGCCCGTGGCCTAATATGGCCCACCCTGTGTTTTTGATGTAACCCTCTAAACTTGAGGTCAGACAGATATATAAATAGAAAATGTACTTAAATATTTATCAATCAAAGCAATTGTCTGTATAGTGACAAGTTACATTATAAAAATGTTAAATATTTAACTTTACAAAGTACTCTTCAAATGGAGAGATAGTTATTTATTCTTATTTTAAGCAATTCATTCTGCCAAGGCCAGGACTTTAAGGGCACTTGAAGTGTTTCAAAGTGAAAATGAGTTTCATCCTTGCTGTACATACTGAATAAAAAAGTTAGTTTTCATTTTTGACCATGTCTTCTTTGTTACATATAGGTCTGAGAAACTTTAAAAGGTCTTATCTTGCGTAGGAAGACTCATGAATGAATAAACTTAAACTGCTCCTCTCCACGTTGGTTTTCCAAGCAGAAAACCAATTATTCTGAAATGTGTTGATGACCTTGGTCAGTCCTGCTTGTCTGTTTTTATCTTGGTTTGGTGAGCTCCACCTTGATAACACTTATTTGGACGCCTGTGTGAATTCAGGAAGGTGCTGGCGCTCTATCTGGGAGGGCACGCTGCCAAGTCATTTTTGCAAAATGTCAGATTCTACAATATCTAAACTATTTAGACTGGGCAAAACTGTCTTTATTTATTATTTATGAAATTCATTAAGTCTTTTTTTTGTTTATGAAAATAAACAAAGTGTAAAAGATAAAATTTATAGTTAGGCAATCTATATTTTTGTTTTGGGCTGAATGTTTTTAATGGATGAAAATGAGGCTTGCTCATAAATGTCATAAAACACCACTCCTAAGCGCTCCTAAGTGGTGTTTTATGACCCTCTTCTCAGTAAAGAGGG